AAGTAATGTCTTAAGTCGCTAATGCGGCCCTCTGATTGGTTCATGACATCGTAAGACTGTACTTAAGGCTGCGGTCCAAACTTAGGCTGCGTCAAATGAACCGCAGCCTAAGACGGTCTTAAATATAAGATCTGACTATGAATACCGGCCTCTGACTGGTTCGTGACTTCTTAAGACCGTACTTAAAACGGTCTTGAATATAAGATCTGACTATGAATACCGGCCTTAATGGCAAATTCGATTGGAAGAACTAGTACGCACTGGTACATATTAAAGCCGTTGTACACTGATTTAATTTGAATATAAAAATGGAATGCAAATATTTCGAATTATGAAATACATATTTTACCTAATAGTACAATAAAATGTATTGAGTATTTCACGATTTAATCGATTTCTATGTTTATTTATAAACATATCTTTACATTATTTTATATACAACGGCTTTAATGTGCACCACGGTGCGCGCTGAGTGCATCCAATCGAATTCGCTATAACTTTGACGTTTGCGTAATCAACATTCAAGCGACATTTTCCTCATTTTTCCTGTTCACATGACAGATGTTAAAATAACCAGAGATTTATGGGTTTATCAAGTTTATCTGTTTATCTTTCAAACGAGATGGGACAGATCAGATTTTGTATGGAAACGCATGCGCGATATATGTTAAGTGTTTCTAAACAATCGGCAAGATAACAAGTGACACTCTTATCGCATACTAATTAAAAATATCGTTTCCGAGTGCAGAGATCAATTTTTAAAGAGAGGACAAGATTAAAGAATATATAATATTTTTCTGATTATAAAATATATATATATGATTTTGTCAAAAATATGATTTTAATATTCACGAGTTGCCAGATAATTGTAAGATACGAATAAAGATAGCAAATATTATAACTACAAAAGCACTTTGCAAAAATGTCTGAGCTTTGAAATCATTTATGTAGATGTAAATGATTGTTACGTTAACATTTGCCAATCAGTATTGATTATTGAATATGACGTGGTAAGTTTAATTCTCAAAATGTTCAATATTATTTATGATACTTTCTAATGTTTTGAATTGCGAATTTACATAAGATATCTATATTGTATATATATACGAGCAGGAATCCTTTAAAGAAGAACTACTTGACCCAGAGACCGACTTCTGCGCCGCCACTTTTGTCTTATGCAGAAGATAAAGAATTGGACGTTGTTGTTCAAAAACTCATCTAGTATGTACATTTGATAGAAATTGTTATATGTCTATAATAATTATATTTGTACAGTGCAAGTTTTCTTCTTTTGTTATAATTTATAAATATACATAGCATATTTTTATTAAGTGCTGATTTTATGAACTAGATTTTGCATTATAGTTGTTTACTTAAAAAAATATTTAAAAAGGTATTACAATATATTCTCTTTTTAAGTGTGGAAAGCGCAATAAGAAAATTAACCAAGGAAATGAAGAAATACATAGGCGCTCTTACAAATCTAGACAGGGCTGATCAACGATTAAGTACAAATCTGATCAATTGTGGACTGGCACAGAATAACGATGAATGTAGGAGAATAGTGGAAGAATATTATTCTGTTGCTACTCAAGTAAGTTAATGCTTCGTAAATGTGACATTAACGTTCTCCTTCAAGATATTGGTTGTGTTCAGCAGAATGTCTATTTTGTAACGGTTGGAAGTTTTCTTCATTGATAGGATTATTCCTATAGTGTTTACTACCTGGAATTTTTATCCTTAAAAATCAGAGATTCTCATTGAATGTTATCAAGCATAGGAAAATTTTTGACATTTTAAATTGTACTTTTAAATTTAAATTCTATCTTTTTCTGAAAACATTATTTCTTTGATTGTTTTTTTCTTAATATTGCAAATTTTGATAATCGATTAATAATAAGAATAGTTTACACGTACATGTATTCGTATATTCTTATGTATGTTTCGCAAGTTTTTATTTAAAAAATTAGAGTAACAATGTAAGACACTATACTTAGTGCAAAAATATTTTATACTATTTGACACTATATTGTAGTAAACCTTCCTCATATTATCCTATAAGTTTTGTGGTTTCATTTTAGAAAATGGTAGTCTCGTGGAATCTCTCTTATAATAATTTTTAATATATAATTCGAATTGTTTACAGTCCAAGTTATTTCAAAGTTGCATTAAAAACTTTTAATCTTACTTGGAAAAATCTATGAATTTTTGAGGAATTCTTTACGAGATTTCAATAAATGTTCTGCTTTAGATAAAATTAGATCAACACGAAGAAAACTTTCAAGAGTTGCAAAAAATAAACATTCTACTGAAGGCATAATATTATAATTAACGCTGCATTTCGTTATTAGGTAGGAAAGAACGTTCAAGAAGTCAGCAGTTTATGCCATAAAACGTTTATAGAACCCCTGAAAAAATTCAGAAATGAATTTATTACCATCGCTGCGGCAATAGCAAAGCGTGAGGATCTAGTAACCACGTGGAAATATGTGTACAATCGTGTAAAAA